TTGTTCGTCTATACTGAAGCTTGGATTCAGTTGGATACAATATATGTTGGTAGTGTTTACTTAAGCTATGATTCAGTGGATAAACAAGGGGGGCCACAAAAAGATTTCAGAGGAAATCGTAGGTAACGCTGAGATAGTGTTGAATAAATCCCAGATATCGGATGCAGTGGATTCCGAATTTTCAATTCATCAGATCTCTGTAAGAACTGTAGGTGGCGTTAATAATTACTTAAATGACGAACACATATTTCGTTTAAACGAATTAATATTTTGTGTTAAACGAATTAATATTTTGTGTTTTGTGTTAAACGAATAAATATTTTGTGTTAAACGAATTAATATTTCGTATTGAACGAATTATTCGTGCACGAAATAATCATATAAAGAGTGGAATCGTGCACTTAAGGGTCTTCGTACGATAACCTATGTTTTCAATTGCTGTCAGGGGATCGTTAATGTGTAAGTATACACAAGAGTTTGGCTTGTCGTCCTATCCAGATGACTAGCTCCGTAACCATAGTGTGTCACCCTCGGGTATTTCAATCACGTGTAGTTTCAGTCATATATACTCTTCAAAAAAATTAGGGGATATTGAAATGCAAATACCTATGCAGGTTGTCATATGATAAATAGTCCTGGACACTTGACATGCTTTGAGAGTATGTTCACAGATGAAGAACTTATCGCCCCAACAGAACCACTGAGCTGCAGTTGCGACACGCAATAGCGACATACACGTGGGAGGGGTTCATTGTCAAATGTGACACTTCAAGGAAGGGTTGATGAAAACTGCCGCGTGCTGGTTTATCCATCCATGTTTGCTTTGCTGTCGGATCTTGCATACGATTTACTGTTTAGCGTATCTTTGCTTTAGTGTGTTACGTTTAATTTGCAATGAGACGTCTTCAATATGATGAACGTCTACGTGCTACTGGCATGCTTCAAATGGGTTCTACACAGCGAGCAGTAGCCAACATGCTTAATGTGTCACAGTCGGTGATCAGCAGACTGTGGAACCGGTACCAACAAACACACAAGGCTGATGATAGACATCGTTAAGGTCGTCCTAGAGCCACTACACAAGCCCAGGATCGATACATTTGTACACAGGTCCTGCGAAATCGAGGACAAAGTTCTACAAATATTCATTTGCGGTCTTATTATTTTCTGTATTGAATTTCTAGATAGTTTAGACTTTTTATTCACCGTTAGAATTTCCAGATAATTTAACATTTCTATCAAGTTTTTTTCGTGATGTTGTTTGCGTCTTTTCAATTTCTTAATCTAACTGTTTGCCCATATTATTATTCCCAATTTGTTTGAAAAATTATTATTTAATAACTTTATTAACTCGGTAGACAAACTCTAATAATTTGTCTATAAGATGGATGGCTGTTTGGTGCCTCTCATATACAGATTACGCATTGCCTTATAAGAAATGTGCTAATCCGACGAATGAAATGAGGTTTAACGTCCTAATGAAATGTTGGGCACTAACTGGGCCAGAGAAGAAATTTGACCCGGACTTACTTCTTATCGACTCACAAATACGCAAGCTTACATCTGAAAGCCTCAAACCACTGACGAGTATCGGTTTGTGATACCTTTCTTTCGATTAGGATATTTCGTATTCTTATATAAGCGAAAAGAGGTTACGTTTAAAGATTGTTACGATATCACGTCGGTGGAACCCGACGTTAAATATAGCTATTTCACGCACGCGTATAAAGTTGATTCAATGAAATTTTTATCACCTTCATGCTCAGAAAACAAATTTACCAGGACTTTTTTTTTCTGTATTTGAAAATGGAATTTATGTTAATTGAAGGAATTTCTGTAAATTACAGGAAAAACAAATACGGATAAAATTTTCCTGGTAATTTTTGTTTCCGGAATTATTTACGTTTTTTCACGGATATTATTGTTGCAGTTTAAAAACAGCCGATTCGGCGCCGAAATGTAGGACGTTAAACCGCATTTCATTAGTCTGGAGGCTCAGCGCGGGGGAGGGAGGGGGGTCCATCAAATGGGCACAAAACCAGACCCAACTTTTCTAGAGTGAAATTTTGCGTAGAATACGATGCCGAGTGGTAATCAGTCCGCCGTTGGGGCGTTTTCGAGATATTCGGGGTCAAAGGTCAAATGGGTTCATTTGCACTGAAAGTGAACGCGCGGTCATTCTTGTATCATGAAAATAAGCTGAAAATAATCGAAAGTAATCACACTTTCAATAAAAATGTAAACTTGCTAAATTCACCTTTGTTCTTTGTGACCCCAGGGCTCAAATGTTCACATTTTCCGTTTTAGCACTAGGAAGATTTAAAGTAATAAATGTCAGCGTAAAATATAAAAAACTAACGCGAAACCTGTTTTAATTAATAATAGGAACATTTAAAATTTATCTTTAGGTGGTCTAAGCACAAAACTTTTACTTTGGAACGTCGAAAATGATCTTGCATAACAGAACCAAAACGCTTCGGAGCCTGTTTCAAAAGTACGTAAAAACTGTTAAATCAAAATCTCTCCGAATTAGTTTTGCAACGAATGCTATACATAATGATATAGTTGTCTGAAAAATACAATTGAATAGTTCCATGGCTGGACTCCAGTCTGCAGGCCGCTTCACAAAGCCTGCCAAAACATTTACCAATACGACATATATATCCTATGAACTACTATGTACAATGCATTCGTCGGTTTTATCTGCGTCCATGTTCCGGAAAAATTCATAAAAACTCATAAAAAATTTGCGAACATTTAATCTCGTCGTCAAATATGTGTTTCCCGTCACAGATTAACGTCGGTTTTCCTAGACTGGGATTCTCGGAAATCCACGCGACCTGCAGGCTGGAGTCCAACACTGAAACTATTCAATTGTGTTTCAGATAACTAGTATCATTATTTATAACAATCGCTGTGAAAATAAATCGGAGAGATTTCGATTTGACAGTTTTTACGTATTTTTGAAAAAGGTTTCAAAATGTGTTGGTTCTGTTATGCAAGATCATTTTCGACGTTCCAAAATAAAAGTTCTGTGCTAAGACCACCTAAAGATAAATTTTAAATGTTCCTATTATTAATTAGAACAGATTTCGTTTTAGCTTTTATATTTTACGTTGACATTTTATTGCTTTAAATCTCCCTAGTGCAAAAACGGTAAATTTTACCTTTTGACCTCCAGGGTCACTAAGACTAAAGGGGAATTTAGCAAGTTTACATTTTATTGAAAGTGTGATTACTGTCGATCATGTTCAGGTTCTTTTCATAATACATGAATGACTACGCATTCACTTTCAGTGCAAATGAACTCATTTGACCTTTGACCCCGAATATCTCGAAAACGCCCCAATGGCGGACTGATTACCACTCAGCATCGTATTCTACGCAAAATTTTACCCTAGAAAAGTTGGGTCTGGTTTTGTGCCCATTTGATGGACACCTCCCCCCCCCCCCCCGCGCTGAGACTCCGGTCTACATTTCATTCCGTTAAACGCACTCAAATCTCCGGATGACCTTTGTCCAGACTATTATTCGTAGAGTATTGCTCTGCAGTAGCAGCATGTTAGTCTGTGTCGACCTCAGTCAACCACCCCCATCCTACAGCAATATATGTTAAATATATGGTATATATATAATATATTTATATAATATATATATATGATTTAGTGTTGATGGTAACAGGTGCTCTAACCTACATATAATGGTAATAATAATTATATTTAACTAAAATATGTTTCAATTTCAAAGAGTCCATTAGACCAAATATACGCTAATGTTATTTTGATGGAAAGTTTGAATAACATTAATACGTAAATTAATAATGCAACAATTTAATATATGGTGTTAGTATTCTATTAGTATTCTATTATACAGGATTAACAATTATAATAGGTTTCGTGGAAAGAGGGCTGGGATCTCGAGTCGTCTAACTTATATAGCAATCTCATATATCATGTTATTGATACGTAGTCAAACGGGTCGATTTTCGGTAGAGGGGTGGGAGGGGAGGCTGTAACAGCGCCCGACAAAAGAATCTATATAACTTTGGGACCCGATCAACAATTGGCGAAATTGCTAATAACTAAAATGTTTACATTGACTAACCTCCTAGTGTACTATCCATCATTACACCTAATTATTAATTATGGTATACACACACACACACACACATCCACACACACACACACACACACCATTCTAGCGAAAGTAAACATATAATACCACAACAATCTGAATCGAAATCGGTCTATGTACAAAATAGTAACATGGCTGTGACTAGGGATTTGTTAAGGGGGTCATACATCATCGGACCTGATAAGAGCAAAATGCAGTTCATAATCAAATTCCGCCCTGGTCAAAACAATGAATAAGCTGATGGTAAAAGTAGCGCCTAGCAGTTTGAGTTTGAGAATTGCATCAACCCACCCAATGTCTGTAAAGTTAATTTTGCGGGATGGAATAATCCTCATATTTTTTCTTTTATATCTACTAAAATTTTATTTCTTTCGTCATTTGGCCACTGCCCGAAAGATTTGATGATCGCCCTAAAACAAAATGTTTTGCCCGACTTGGGTGGGGGTTGCAGCCAAAAGTCACGCCCCCTCTCTTCTTCGGTATCGTACGCCGATGTTTGTGTGTGTCTGGAACTCGGCTGGATGGTCGAGTCGCGTAACGTTTACATCACACTATGTACATTGCATAATAGAACAGGGCTGGATGATCCAGAGAAGTCAAACTTCTTTAGCAAACTTTGAATATTACGTCCTGGAAATTTAAAATAAAAACAGAACATTTACCGAGATGGGGCTGAGTGTTCAAGAGTCAAGAGGTCTATTGCTTGCACTTGAGATCCTATTTCATCGAAGCAAATCTTGTGGTTCCGATTCAACGTCTGTCTGTCTGTGCCTACATGTGCAATCCACACAGTCGTGTCATTTTCACAAACCAAAAACAACCGTTTTTGGATAACTCGTTAATAATATAGCTGCTCTACTAATAAATTATTTCCATCAAATGATTTTAATACGTACCATGAACATCACAGGGCATATATCATAAAAATGCGTTATATACATATCTATTGAAATAAACTATAACCATCATGGGTCATATATCATACAAAAACAACTATATCTTGAACAAAAAAATACTTATAAATATGTTATGTTTGCCAGCAAACATATAATTTTTACATGGGGTTTAAAATGAGAATTTAAAACCAAAATTGGTGTCATTAGCATTTCCACTTGGTATTATTCACCTGCTCGTGATTTGCACATCATTGAATTGACAACGTATCGCCAACCACACAAATGAACACTAACTGTTTACAGGCCTATTACAGAACTTTATATGAGAATGCATTCTAAAGAGTGTTTAACACTATATTAAGCTGTCTATGACCACGACTTTAATAAAGTCAAAACTCTGTGATTTAGGCTTAAATACAATTAATTTGGTTTGATCATGTGTATAATTCCGATCAGTGATGCGACAGACTCCATCCGATCAAATATCTGTTTCAGCAGATGAAGCGGGATTAGCGGCTATGTTAATTAATTCACCTTGTATGTCCGGCTTCCTGTGTTGTACGAGGGAACATACAACCAAGTATATATATCCCACACTTACTTTATTTTACAGATGTCCTTTATAAAGACTATTGGCAAGCCCACAAAACAATTTGTGGTCATTCAAGGGGTGATTGTTAGAACAAAACACGTCATCGACTATATCATTCTTGTTCGGCACTTTTCCAGGGAAATCTAGAAATAATAACTGCTGCTTATGTTGACTTCATATTGCAACTGCGGATATTCCGCCTCTTCGTTTTCGTTTTCATACGGATATGACGACATAATATGTGGCTGATTATAGCGTTCTACTTCCGATAATGTAGGATTTTCGAACTCGGTTGAACGACTTATAATAGAAACATTCGGAGTACTTTGATTTACCACAGCTGGTCTTTCCTTACGTGGAAGTTTAACCCCCATTTTAACAAATATCACAAAACATCCAAGACACACAGCACCACTAATGAGGCTGACGACGATATTGACGATATTCAAACCTTTTCTATCTCCCACGTGTGAATATTTTTTAGCTCCTTGTGGAGTGTTTAAAGTATGAATTTCATATGATGCTAAACATATTAACAAAGCGGACATGGTAAACGCAACGATTGTTAAAATAGCACACAGTCCAACCTGGAAGAATAAATATAAACATGTTATTCGCATCAATAGTAGGGTTACGTAAGGGTAATCGGTTTAAAGTTTGGATCTTGGTTAGGGTTTTGGAGACAAAGTAGGACCTGGGGCATGCGAGATAAAGAGATAGTTAAAAGGGTTCTGAAGTCCGCTCGGCACAAATCATGTAATTGCGGGACTAACACATGATTCGATTTTATTTTAATAAATCGCTTGCGTGTAGGGGTCTTTAACAGTGGAAATAAACCGGAGCCCATAGAAAACCCTAGAGGTTGGACAGGCCACCCTACTCGTTGTCACGTAAAAAGTTTGTGATCGAAAACCGGGCACTAGATTCAATGACAGACCTCATACTCTTATGATCCCAAAGACCAGGTGTAATATACTTACCACACATTTTAGTCCAGAGTGATCTAAAGTGAAACCTACTTCGCCTTTCATCATAAAAGCTCGACATCCAGAAAATAGGCACTGGAATTTATTAAAAACAACACAATACATGAGAATGGCGTCCTAATGATTCGGGGTGGGCGTCTACAGGTAGTCACGTAATATATCAAGGTAAAATATTTATGCAAAATGGTAAATCTACAGTGTCTGTGAAATTGCATGTACCTACGGTATCTTTTGTTATGCTGAAATGTCCATCCGTTTCAGATTACCTGCCAAATCCCTGGCAACAGTGGGGCGTGTAATGAACTGATGGCTAGCTGTGTACTGGAACGGGTAACAAATGGTATAGTGGAAGCTGGGCAGGAATTGGGTACATGTGGAAGCTCAAAGGATATTACCAGAGGGGGACATAACCTGCTCAAATTGTTACAGTATTTACAAAGATTAAAAAAGATCGGTATAATTAAGAATGAGTGAAATGTTGTTTAAAAAGCACGTCAGCTCCAACCGGGCTATAATTGCACCAAACATATGTATATACCCCCATATGGAAGCTGGCAGCACAATGAATATATCCAAAGGGGAACATAATAGATCTGTTACATTATTTCAATGATTCAAAAAAAAATTCATAATAGAAATATCTTTAAAATAATATTTCGTAGGTAAATGTAAATAACACACGTGGAAGCGGGCAGCACAGTTAATGTTACCAGTGGAGAGCATAGACCGTTAAGAATTGTAACATCATTTCAATGATTCAAAACACCTACTGATGAATACGTCGATGATGTTTATTGATATTTACCGTTAATCCAATGATAAGATTAGGTGTGATCCTGGAGCCGACAGATTGGCCTTGTAAAAACGTAGATTTGAAGGTAAGGATAATAAAAACTGCACTTCCCAGCATACCAACTCCTGTTAAAATCTGAATAACTCCAGTTGTTTTCATTCGACCTAAAAACGTTCTCAAGCATGTGAACTCTGGATCTAAAATGACAAAAAAAAAACAAATAACACGTACAACACCAATGTTTGCTACAAGGTGTTTAGAAATTGCTGAAAATTAGACAAAGCCACAAAGCCATGTATACAAAAGGAGAGAGAGACCCTACTACAAGCGGGGAATAGAAACCACGTCACTTGACTTAACGACAGACCTAATGATGCAACGCACACTCGTTAACCATTCGGCCACCCCCCCCCCTTACGATATCTGGAACCCAGGTATCAGAAACCAAAATAGTTTAATCGAGATGTATTACATACGAATGGGTTTATAGTTTCTTTAACTCAATGCCTTGGTCATTTTGAGACTAACATGGTAATATTTATTTCAGTGGTTACGTGTACAATATGAGACTAAACATTTAAGATAAGGAATCCGAATTTAAAAGTCACGAGGGTTGTTCTCGAAACCGGGATATCCAAGTCAGTCACCTACAGTTCGACCACCGCCGCTTATTTTAAGACTCGACTAAAATAACTTGGGTGTGAAATAAGTTTTGATAAATGTAAGGCCATATAATGAAACGCTCGTATCCTGGCAAAATTCTTCCCCTTCGTATATAGTGTATCCTACCAAAAACACATAACAATTTTGAATTCGCAGGAATAATAAACTAACCAATTGTGTTCCTAAATTTTTCAGTGCGTTTTAACCGCGGTTCATTGTTCATCTTTATAGTTTCAAGTCACTCAACTGTCCCTGGTGGTCCTATAGACTGAACTATTTATCCTGAAAGCACCAACAGCACTTGTAAGTACACCAACTGTATCTGGTCGTTCTGTAGACAGAGCTATCTATCTATATTGATTTGCATCAACAACACCCTGGAATACTAAACACAACAAAACACTGTGAATTAATGGTGTGTGGTTCTAGGCAGAAAATGTTTAATAAACATGGGCTGGCTACATCAGCACCACACATGTTTTGAGCAGTCTGGCTGCAAAAGTTCAACACAGCACCCGTGGATAGACCTCAAAAGCCATAACCAACCCACCCACTCACGCACGCGAGTCGAAGGGAGTCAGGGAATCCTGACATATTTCCGATCATGATTCAGGTTTCGCGGACGCAAGTGTTGAACGTTTGCTACGTGCCTTTGGTGAGTGGATTCTTGGTCAGACAAATGAAAAATATCAATCATAAATAAATCAATAGATCTCTCTTCCTCGAGGAGCCATAGTGGCGCATCGTTAAAACAACGCTGGCTGATTAACCATAAGTTATTCGGAATTGTCCATTCGTGGTTACCCCTTGCCAGTAGTGCAGGATTGTGATCTAGTTTTTCGCGTGGGACAAATGTTCAAGATCCCACGAGTAGATTTATATAGCGCGTTTCCGTCCTTGTTATTCTAATTAGGAGACTAAACCTTATTTCATCCCATTTCGTTTCTCCTCTGAGTCCAAGGTTTTCAATGACATTTATTAAATGAACTGGAAATACACAGAAAGTAATCCCATGGGGTAAAATTTAGACTACAATGGTGAAATATAAAATACGAAGAGACAACAATATATAGTTAATGACGACCGATCAAAGACATGTCACTAACTACCCTGATTCATGTTTGAGAATTCCAGAAATAGTCAAGGTTGATTACTGTAATTTATCACCCAATAATACATTCTACAGTAAATATCGCTTGTGTGATAAATTTCATAATCTATATCACATGCATTTGATTGGTCAGTTTATTTTCAAAGAACAGTTCATTTTTTTTTTATTAAAAGTAACTTCTTATTTTATTTAATATGAACAATTTTTATTAAATTGACTATGATGGAAACACGGGGTCAATATAAAAGACTTTGCAATGGTTGAATGGCTGTCAAAAAATGAGGTATCACTACGCCTTAATGTAATCAGGTTCAGTAAACGTGAAATATATAGTAAAGAATTATATTTATTTATTTTTGCATGTAAGAAAGGATTGGGTGATAAATAAAATATCCTACTCGTCCTTTTTGATATAAAAAAAAAACAAGTCGTAGGGAATTCTCTATATAAAACGGATTACGTGTGATAATGGCCGAGATGTTAATTATAGCATACAAAACATTTTTGTACCTAAAATCTTTAAATAATCCTATGGTCAAATGTTAAAATGTTCTCCAGAAATATCAACAATAAAAAGACACGCTGGCTACACGAGGTCATCCAGATACGAAGAGATCACGAATACTGAACAGATATCAGGCGTCATTTCCTCCCAGGGCTGTATGGTATTTTCATTCTGCGAGCAGCTAAGTATATTATTTTATTATTTCTATACATTAATATCTGCATACAACCAAGCCGTACGTGGCCGCGAGTAGGGTCGCTTGTCCAGCCTTGAGGTTTTTTTTATGATACGCCGGTTTCCGTCCACAGCTAAGACCCATAACCCCAAATGGAATGTTGAAATTTATGTAAAACTGATCAGTATTACACTGGAAGTTTTTCTTCACGTTGAACTTAGGATTGTCATGTTCATGAAACAACGCCTACGAGTTTTACAACATTATGACGCTGCTAGATTGCTTTGTAATTTCCGAACTTATAGCTACGTTATCTCTCTTTACCGCAGGGACATGATCAATAGTTTCCAATCAGAAGTTGTGACACAAACATACTCAAATCAAACATGGCGACCTTCACAGAACCCTTGTCATTTAACGAACCTTGTACTTTGCAAATCTATTATTATAGGTAGACATTCTAGCTGGAAAGTTAGAGACTGGGTATTCGCGATGACCGAGGAATCTGATAGGCTCTCAAGCTGGGTCAGTCCCCAATCCAAATTAGTGCCTAAATATGCAGGATAATACACGAAGGACTTTATAAGATGTACGGAGTTAAAGCGAGACCAAGCCTTCTATTGAGGATGAGGTATTACCCAAACAGCGCGTAATCAACCTTGACTAATTCGAAATTGACTTTACACTTTTAAAGTTAGGTCCCCTTTGGGTTATTTTATTTCTGCTTTCATGTAAAACTGATCCGTGTTACATTGGATGTTTTTTTGAGAACAATTACGTTCAGCCCAACGTACAAGACGTGTTTTGTGTGGATTAGCAATAAATAGTTATTTTAAACCACATAGTTTTGCCCTAAGCTTTTGTTTATGCGGACGTGACACTTTCCCGAAATTGGCACCAGATGGCCATGCGATAAAGTAAATGTTCAAATGCGGCTCTCATCGTAAAAACATCGAGCCGTTTGTGAGGGAATCTTAAACCATCGTTTGACCGCCTGTGGAGTTATCGTATTCCGGCAGCAAATTCGTTTGCGCGGGCAAAATCTTTTGCATGCCAAACTTTTGCTGAAAGTCCTTGCGAAGGTTGAATTCATGTGTCCATTTCGTCGCACGTAAGGCCATCCTGAGGGCATCTTGTAAAGTCGCGCCATCTTCGTTTTTACTTCGTGTGATCATCGGTGTCATTGGGTAATTGAGGTCGGGTGTTCGATCCCTGCATTGGCCGAGAAAGTTCATCCAGATTTTCCGGCGTTGTTCCCCTTGTCAGTGATGCAGGACGGAGGGCCTAACAAGGACAGCTGTCTAGTCGTTCGGATGGGACGAAAAACCGAGGTCCTGTGTACACATTGGCGTGCACGTAAAAGATCCCTTGACAGTTGGAATTCGATATAAGAGTAGGCCATAGTGCCGCTGTCCGGGCAAAATTTCCCTCATTTCGGATCAGAAAAGTAGGACGTTAAACCCCATTTCATTTCATTTCCATTGGGTAATTTGCCCCTGTGCTACTCAAATTCAGCTGTCTGCGCCGACACCGTGGTCCTATCTCGATGTCATGGTACTATATATAATACGACGGCATTGCTAGGGCTTCGCGTAGTTGTGTTGCCTTCCGAAGACAATCGGGCAGATTCTTGTTTACTTCGTACTGTCTTTTCGAGGAGAAAAATGTCAAATGACACCGGTGATTAGACGAAGGTGGCACTCTTTGACAATATACACTCACGTTGACCTTATGATGGACACCCGAATAGTTTCTTTGATTTCAGGGAAACTGGTAACATATATGGTTTGACACCTTGATCAACTTTTTTGGACGTTTTGTAACACAGCACACTTCTTGCCTTCATAGGGCTACCAATTAGCATAAAATAGCATATTTGCCCACCTCCCCCTCCCCTGATCGCAGTCAGTGAGGTATTTAATATAGTGTTTTGTGGGAGACCTTTCCTGAATGAATAAAGGCTGAATCGTGTCTTTTGCACTTCAAGAAATGTAATATATCTTCTCGTGAACACAATTATCCCGGTTTTGATATGATCAATATTTTTATTTTACAATTATGACTACACTGTATTGTTAGCTGATTGATGGGATCAGATGTATAACATGACGAAGATTATTTCCATTTTTGACTAACAAATCTAGTGAAGAGTAATATTAGACATATATTTACAAACAAAGTAAATTAATTTAATATGATGACCACAAACACACAGAGTGAAATGGGGTTCAACGTCCTACCATTTTGTATTAACCAGGCTGTTTTGGGCTATATCCCCGCTACGAAAAGGGATCACCACTTCAGTAAACACCCAGGAAAAATTCTCAGCTAACACGATGACACCTTGGCTAATCGTTATTCCCTTAGTACAATGCTCGTTTGTAAACGAGTCAAAAGTCCGGTAGTAGATAGGAACCTCTGCGTTTTTGTACCATCCGTACGACTAGAAGCTATTCCTTGCCAGGATGGCGACCCAGCACCATCGATAAAAGGAAACCATGCTTGAAATGTTCCATTAACTTTCTCGGATAACACAGGGAGTGAATCTAAAAGTACATGTTAGCGAGCGGTCGTGTTTCCCGGAACTACATAAGACTTGGTTGTCAAGAATGGACTGCTTACATGGCTAATGTCCAACTGGACGAGCTAGACTGTATTTAGTATGCAATAGGTGGATATATAAAATGATAAAGGTATTATCAGTATCCTTTATCAGTAGGGCAGGAGGTAGAATCTGGCAAGGAACAGCGCATAGTCGGTCGGATGGGACATATATCTCCGAGGTTCCATGCGGACATTGGTTTGCACGTAAAATATCTCTTGACTGTAGGAGTAGGGCGTAGTTATGCTTGCTTTCCGCGTATACGTTTCCGCATAGCACACTGCATGACCTATTTTCATTACCAATAAGGCAGGCTAGAACGTTAAAACCCATTTCATTTTATTTGTGCACATCCCTCGATATTAATAAAGAAAACACGTGTACATACCCCATTCCAAGTACTGTACATGTACTTACCTACCAGACAACACTTATAATCAACCATGTGTCCTATGTTGCTTAATACACACATACATGTATAATGCAATATAATTTTAATGATATACAGTATGCTTGATCTATGCAACATTTGACTGGGATGATATTGACGTGCTGAATACACTGTATTATTGATTTCAAATAATATTCCCGGTTGAGTTGATATTTATGTTAATATATACAACTAATATTAAAGAGCATATGCTATGATAATCTAGTTTATGCCTTTATAAATGTTTTTGTTATACCAGTCCTAAGCGCTGCTATACTCACACGACACAATGTTTTATGCTTTATGTAGATGAATAGATTTACATTACTCAGTTTAATTTGCGATGGGAATCGGGTGTTCTAGAAAGAGAAATCCTAGGATGTATCACGCGCGACGTTCGTCAGTGAACTTGCTGCAGATGTGGGTAGGCGAATTAGGTGGCCGGTCAGCGCAGTTCCCCCTGTTACTCATCATTTTACAAATTTGCACACGATAGGTGTTATATTGTACGCATGTCATATCATGTGGATTCCGAAATAAAAAAAAAAAACGATTGTTTCTGTGATACGGTTTCACAAAATTATCAACGTTCTGTTACCAGGATTGAGACAAGATTTTTGACTAAGAGTCAATTACGCCGTGCTTCAGTTTTTTCTTGCGGATTTCGAGTCAGTAATCAAATTATGTAGGTTAATGATGCATTTTGATTACTATTGCCATGGTTTACAAATAGTGACCTCAGGATGAGAAGTTATCTTGGTATTTCTGTGTGTATAAGAAAGGGTTGATTTAGCATCTCATGAACCAAATACGACCAAAGACTAAAATAATTAAAGTCTACAATTTGAAATGTGAAAGCGCTGTACAGTAGGAAATGGTAACTGTTACTAAGCAATTGTGATTGGCTGTGAACATCTTTGAAATATTATTATATTGTACATTTTCACCCCAAAAGGCCTAATTAAAATTTGTATATTTAAGTATTATAACTACTGTTCTCTTGATAATCAAATAAGCAATATAGTAATTAGAATTGTTTACGGTGGTGGGGATTTAACGACTTTACGTAATGGTAGTAGCGAGGCAACTGGTAGGTTTGTTTCTATAAATTTGGGGACTTATATTAACCCGTCGTTATATTAATATATCTAATTATTATTACAATTACTATTACAAGCGTAAGTTCATGGGCATCAGAACCTCTCTGAGTTACCGATATTTCACACACACACACACACGCGCACACAATAACACCTTCTCCAATATTCTGAACACTGAACTACAGGAGAAGTGCTAGATCATGGGCATAAGAACTTCTCCAAGTTATGGAGACTTATAGGGGGTTAATATCATCCACAAACACACGGCACGCCTTCCTCTAATATACTGAACAGGAATTCAATTGCATATTGAATTAGTGTACCGTGCCCCTGTGTGCTATTCATAACGCGCGTTTGTTTAAGTGTACGCTTATTTTTTCTTTTATTTTTGGATGCATATTGTAAAAAGAGTGGCGGGGGGAGATATGCTAGCACAACACGTTTATTAAATGTACAACTACGTTTTACATAGACGTACACGACCTGTATAGACCTCAATAGAACTTTACTGATACCCCCACCCGCCCTGTATTCCGCGGCCTATATTTTCAAACACTACTGTAAGTGGTGTTTTCTAGAGTATATCCTGATGAACATGGTAGCTTTTGTAGCATATCGTGATGTTGGCAGTCTTACCAATTTATCAAAACTACGTAAATTCAACATTAAACAGGGCCCCCAAACTACGTGAGAACATTGACTTCTCTGGGGGGGGGGGGAGGGGCACTACATTTTTTAAAAATAATAATGTATGTGTGGGAGAGTTGAGACTGTGATAGAACAGATGTTTCATTCAATAGACAGTTTATATTAAAATCTATCGCATGATATAAGATATAAATGATAGAGTGTAACAAATAACCTATTTAAATGTCAGGGTGATAGACTGACTTGATGTTCAGTTAAAGATACATCGTAAATAATTCATAATAAGTCGGTCGTCGCTGTTAAGGTTACATTCAATGTAACCAAACGGCATTTCCTCGATAAATTCAGGCGTTTTATAAATTCATACTGGAACATGAGAAAAAGTGGGATAGATTATCTTTTACCAATATCTAGTATTATAATAGATTTAACAATGTACAAAGCGAAGGTCATAAAATCTACAATTGTCCTTTAAAGTAGCTAAGTTTCTAACTCAATATCATCCAAAGTCTTCCACATCGAAAACACGAATTATTTCTCAATTTAAATCAACATCGATGTTGTGATCTTATCGGGAAAAGGTGGGCTTGCGATATACAATATTCAAGACAAAATAAACATTTTAAAATTGGTACACGAATCGTGTACCATAATGCGTTTCAGCGCCATTTGTAACAAAGGACTCGAAGAACGAGGCTAGATATATTCTACAAGTCATGTCAAACGGTCACCTCATATTCTTATCTGGAGAGCATGCGCAGTAAATACTATCGGTGTAGACTCGAGTAACCAGACGCTAGAGATTTTCATTCGATTGAGACTTTTGGCGTATTACGCCGAATATAATTGTTTTGAAATTAGAGTAAAAACGGAAACCACTGAATGTAAATCAGTTTATATACATTCATATTACATTATAATATGCGTTGCGACCCAATTGTGGCAGTTTCTCGGCCCCAAATATTAGCGATTTGGCTCCTTTAAGTATGCAATTCAAACATCATTATATAAAATAACAGAAATAGGAAAATTTTGCCCCGACATTGGTTCTACGACCTACTTATATTTCGAAGGTATTTTACGCTCAAGCCAACCAGTACACGTTGCACCACTGACATCGGGGGTGGGGCACATTATTTGATTTCATTTCATTTCATTTTCAATACCATGAACCTGGGGTAAAATATTGTAATGTTTATGATATATTAAATACACTTACTTCATCCTGTAACCGTCCAGACAAACCGTTCAATAACTCATCCACTACGGACGTGATAACGACCAGACAAACCGTTCAATAACGCGTTCACGCCGGACGTGATATCTTGGATAATATTGTTGTAACCATAAGTGCGCGAATAACATAACGACATCATCCAGGTATAACAAAACTGAACACAACAAAATTGGTTAATGTTTTAGATTGTATGTTTTTAGTAAATACAAAATCGATAACCCACTTACTCTACGTTTACATTTCTCTATTTCAACCAATATTGGCTGGTTTATTAGGTTGAAACAGCTGTTGATGACAGATTTTACAATTATTGTTGTGAGCGATACACTAATAATAGTGTTAGTTAGGTTATAAATCATGAATACGAATTTATTTATCTGAATGAGTCATTACTTAAAGGAACTAAATCGCTATTCTTTGGCACCGAGAAATGAACACAAATGGGTCGCGACGCATATAATAATGTAATATGAATGTTTATAAACTGATTTACATTCAATCGTTTTTACTCTAATTTCTGGTTATTCCAGTCTACTCTAGTAGTCATCCATTGTGGGAAATGTTTAGCCCCGTTCATCCAGTCATTTCATTACCAATGACCCTCGAAAGCATTCTGGCTTGTCATTCATGGTGTGCCTAGTTTAAAATTTAGACTGTGTCTTAAATAATGAATATCAGAAGCCCAACTTTTCACGGTAAGGTAACAACATCAATGTTGATTTAAATTGACCAAAAAGTCGTGTTTGCAATGCCGAAGACTGTGGATGATACTGAGTTAAATACTTAAAAATACATCATAGGAGATTAGATAAAGAGCTGGCGGTTCTCACTATAATAGTTAAAAACTATATAATGTAAAGCCAATTTGTTGAAAATTTCAGTCAAATTGATCAACTATGAACCGATAATTAAGCGATTGAAATTTCGGCCTAGCCTCGATCATCATTACTAAAGTCGATACGATAAAAAACATAGTCTCGATTATCCATTTCATGATTAAATCATGTATACCATTCTGCACGCAGAGAACTGTCTACCTTGAGAATAGATCTCAGCCCAGTAAATATCATAGGCTAGCGATGACATCAAGCGTTGATTATGGTCTGGATAAGTTAATTAATGTCTAATTAATAATTTAGATAACATTTCAGGCCTAATGAAATACCTTTAATAGGCAGACTTAGCTCGTGCATAATGTATGTTTAATAGCTACTTTAACTTGTATACCATTCTGCACGCAGAGAACTGTCTACCTTGAGAATAGATCTCAGCCCAGTAAATATCATAGGCTAGCGATGACATCAAGCGTTGATTATGGTCTGGATAAGTTAATTAATGTCTAATTAATAATTTAGATAACATTTCAGGCCTAAAGAAATACCTTTAATAGGCAGACTTAGCTCGTGCATAATGTATGTTTAATAGCTACTTTAACTTGTATACCATTCTGCACGCAGAGAACTGTCTACCTTGAGAATAGATCTCAGCCCCTAATGACTGTCATGTTAAAAAAATCAGTACACCATTTTGTAACTCGGAGGGTAGCGATATGCGTAAACAATAATATCAAGTAAAGCCTCCACCAACATCTGGATATGTTATATCATGACTAATAGTGTCAAGTATTTAGTTTATATAAAGATATATATTGATCGTGCCTAGAACATATGTCAACACATATTGTTATAGTCCATATTACATCTAACCTCCTGGGTTTTTTCTGGAACCCCCGGTTTTCTCCCACTGCCAAAGACCTATACGTGCAAACGAATAATCAAAAAAAAAACTGTACCATGTTAGTCTTGAAATGATCTAGTTTATGTCGAGTGGGCATTGAAAATCACAATATTACTCTTTTCGTAGACTTATGTATTTTTAGGAAGATATTGAGTTTTATGGATAAGGACATACACCATTGATTACTCTTATATTGAAATTTGTCAAGGGTTCTTTTACGTGCAGACTATAATGTACACTTCACCTTGCATTTTCGTTCCATCCGAACGACTAGACGGTTGTCCTTGTCAGACCCTCCGCCATCCACCGCTGACCACGAGAAACCACACCGGAGAATTCAGAGGAATGTTCCAAGCTAAAACCCAGTACGAAGAAAATGAGACCTCCAGAGCGAGCCAGCGTCTTACCTCATTATGTATTTCTTGTTTTGTCAACACGGTTAATAGGACAAATTTATCGTTGAACTTTATCAAATATTACAATTTTATTTCTTGTATCAGCAAATTGTCTTTATTACATCTACTTTAATATTAATAAAACAACTGTGATATTAATTCTGACATTTAGAACGATCCCTGTATCGACATTTACTGTAATCATTCTATTGTAGACCTTTATTGCCTAATGTACGGGTTCGATAGTCAACCAACAAGTAAAGAATATAAATAATGACTAAAAAATTCAATGGAGGGAGGTTAATCTACTCTTGAAATTTGAAGATAGAAAATATGTATAGAAGCACAGAGTTACGACAAAATCCATATCTATACATGATAAATACTATAACAAGAACAGGTGGTGAGCTGTGGACAATTCAACCCAGTCAGCTTTAAACAGGTATAGATCAACGGAACCTAGATCAGCACTGGTACCTTGTGGACGATCTTCGTGAAAAATGTCTCTACTCATAGCAATTGCCGCTTACGGGAACGGATGTAATAATAACAAAATCACATATTCATATAATTATTGCAACTGCCAAATGCTTCGTAACATCTTCGCATTGATTATTTCTTGCCTTCTTGCCTTCGTGCTGTTCACACATAGCTTAGCGAAACCGCAGCGGGGCAGGTTATAGAACGGGAGCCCAGGGGGTTAACCTTGCTGAAAAGTGTAACAATTTTCTTCTATATGGTATCAATGCATGTATATCTGGTATCATCAGAATGTAAGTCTGTCGGGTATCTGGTGGTGGGTGTGGTATTCCACGCCCAAAATGCCATGCCCCCAACTAGGCTAGATTAGCCCAAAAGTGTGCCACATGAAAATCGTACAGCAGTGGTGTACCGTACATCTTCAGGTGTTACAAAAACACTCTAACAGACATTTGTAGTGGTTGGTTACCCCTGACAGAGCTATGTAATTGTCAGACATTTGTAGTGGTAGAGTATCCCTGACAAGAGTTAGGCTAGGCTAGGCTAGGCTAGATTAGTTGAAATCTGTACCACCTAAAACAGCTTTGGAGTTGTTCAGTACCACTATAGAAATCATGAATGACCACTGGTCAGACTGAAGACTAAGACTAGAAAGCTGGTTAAAAATATAAATATTTCTAATAAATCTAGAACATTATATGACTATTATCTCGACAGCACCCTTTTCCACGGGATAGTGGACAAAACATCATCGACGGGTACCAGCACTATACATTTAATTAATAGAGAGACACAGGAATCTGTCAATGCGATTTGACAAAATTAAATAGGAAAAATCGACTAAAAAGGAAGACCTCAAAAGCATTGATTCGTTCGATACCTAATAATAATAAAGTTTTGGCAAATATAATACTGGTTGTAAGTCCCAACCTCGTGAGGAAGAAGTAATTTTGTATGTCGAAAATCAAAGATACACTTCCGAATGCCATAATTTGGTCATATAACTAAAAAAGAAACTTTAACGTTTCCGATAGGAACGTCAACGCGGTTATAACCGCATGTTTGGCTGTCGCGGGACTCAAACCTATTTACACTCCAACAAATACTGCAGTTCAAAGAATATCATGTAAGCGCGTCGGAGTATCTTTAAACTTTAAAACATATCTCGAAAACCGTAAAGTCAGCGAAAAGCACCATTTTATATACAAACGAAAATACTAAATTTGGCTCCAAATTCGCTACATATGCAATAACCGCTGACTCGACTTATAATTATACCCCACTTATTATTTGCGCAAACTATATCTTACAACTTTAAATTAAATTTTGACAGATCTTGATTATACACCTGGGTCATTTAGTAAATCCGTAATTTTCGAAATTAGAAATATTATGTCCGACAGAGACAGCACCGAAAAGCTTTTTAACACTCTATTTACATAGTACAGGGGCAATATTTGTTTTAAATTAGTAGACAAGTGGTCAGATTTAACAGATTCAGAGGGAAATATTGACTTCAATATAAATCATTTCTTTTACGGTCTTCATGTATTGATTGGTTTGGCCGATGAAAGTGCGTCTCACTTTGAGGAACTGTATTCGGTCCAAATGTTTAAAAGCGCTTCTTCATTTTTGCCAAATGAACCTGGGTGTGTTCGATTGAGTGGGGACGAACAGTCGGTTTTAAGTTATATCTAAAGTACAGCTAACGCCATTTCATGGTAGCTGGTTTAATATTATTTTCCACAATGTCGCATATAAAAAATTTTCTTACTGATTTTGAAACAGAAAACAGATTGACACAAAGCATATTTTATAAGATATTAAAATTCCGTTATTTCATATTGAGTGGCGGGCTTTGGGCTTGATAGATATATTAATTAGTGCCCCACCGTGGCGCATATTAGAAAGCGGCATAAATGTTCTTGACATGAAAACTATTTATCAAAAATTACATGATTTTTTTTGGAAAACCCGAATATTCGAAACTTTGTTGAAGGTAAATCACACCGATTTGAATCTCTGATTAAAATTGAAAATTATTCGGTCTTTGCTAACCTGACGAAATTTAATTCTGATTTAAATCTTAATTCAACCCCGATCCATGTTTTAGAAGTCTTTTCCGAGTTTAAAAAGTACATTGCGCTGATTACCTTACATTTGAATTTATTTATCTTTGAGAAAACCTGTATTTCTGTCTTATAATAGCTGACATGATAATATTGACTCTTTTATAAAAAAAAATATCTGCCTAGAGAGATGTTATACTGTACATATAAATGTATATGATTTAAGGGTGTTGCAATAGACGACATACGGTTACGAAATAAGATCTAACATACAGGCATATTGATTCAGAAGGCGTTGGTTTTAGCTAACGTGTTTTAGTTAATGTTATCGATCGCTTTCAGTCCCTGCATAAAGTTATAGTGAATGCATATTAAAATAATCAGCATATTTATTCTTGTATAAATGCTATCATATAAGAAGGAACGTGATCCCGATTTTGAATTTGTTCTTAATTATGTATCTTCTAGTCTGTATTCA